CTCTGACTAGAGATAATCTCGACTGCACAGAATTAAAGAGATAAGATCAACGTTTAATTAACACGTGAACAATATACGTTTGTTTGCGGAGATTATCTTTATATTCTCGTATCGCTTACTGTATCCCTCGTCAATTGTACGAACCGTATGGAAGTTTGCGACGACAGGGCGCAGATTGTAGATCGAATTTCGCGCAGTGGCAGTATTCCATCTCTCGCGCCGCACAGCCGCATCGATATCCTTGTGTAATGGAACCATTCTGAACCAATCGCAAGGAAATTGCCTCTCGAAAATACACCGGGCAAAAGTGTAGTCCTACGTAGTCGCGTTGGTTGAACGTTAACGAACTTAAAGGTATACGTAGCTGGCATCGAAATGGCCTTCTCGTACGTTTTATCGCGTGCCGCGTGGATACGACAAAGTCAAAAGGACTCGTCGATACAACGGAATATTGCGTTTTCTTTTTCATCCCGGGCGCATTTCATTTCACTTTACATATGTATATACCTACTATGTGCAAAAGCGCAACCGTGAACGTTGCTTCTCTCAAATATACACTCATAACTATGTGCACGTGAGTGCCATGCACGCTTTTTGAGTGAAGCGAGGGGGGGATTTAAGGCGGGAGGAGGCACGAACCAAGCATCCATCTCTTCCGTGGCAGCGGCACTGTCGTATCTGTGTAGGGCGTTTACACACTTCCTCAGCCCGACAAATAATTGTTAGAAAACAACATTTGCGGGTCTGAAAAAATGGCTATTTTAGACAGCTCTTACCGCTCTTAGCGCATAATGCATTATTTCGCCAAAAACGAACGTCGCGAGATGTTCGCGCGCACAAGATTATCAATTTATCATTTTACAATTTATCACACAGATTTACAATTTATCATTCGCGAATTATTGTTCACCATTGGTAACCCCCTGGTTTGAAGCGACGCTCATCCCTCTCAAAAGTTTGACAGAGGGCAAGCTAAGGACATATCTAGGGACATGTTTGTAACGGCTACACCCTCGTGTTGAAACTTACATTATCATGTTCAGACGCGGAACGTTTCGCAACAGTTCCCGAGCGGCGGAGATATGTAGTAATACACAGCGACGGGAAGGCGCATATAGTACCGTAATAAGTACATACGCAAACGCATGCAAGGTACGCATTACGCTGCGAAGCCGCAGTAGCGTGTGATAAACGCGGCGAGATAATGTGCGCCGCTGATGAGCGAAAAAGATGGAATCGCGGCTGCGACGCACCCAATAGACATAGAATATCGTATCGACTTCGAACAATCAATCATGCTTTATAGATCGCATTGCAAAAGTTTTTCCAGATTTTCGCGGATAGAAAAGGGAACTTCGAATAACTAGCCTCTTACTTATCCCCCTCTCTATCGGAATATTCCCCTCGTGAATTCCTCGATCCACGCTGTTGACATATGTGATACAGTTCCTGTAAGTGTCTTTTAAAGTACTCTTTCTGAACCGTGTTGTGTCACAGCTGTCTGAATATCTTGAATATATGTACGATATTTTTCTGTTCAAATGTATTTCAAGTTTAATGTAAATATAACCGATGCGAAGTGCATTTTATTGTGAAGCATTTTCTATACCGGATGAGTCGAAAAAAAGTTTTTAATTTTAGAACGACTGCTTAATCTCCCTGAACGCGTTAAAATTCAATCAAAAAAAAATTTATTTAGGTATAGAAGAATATGCAAAGATTTAGATATAAACAAAATAATACAAACAAGCATATGTCCCACACACTTTCTATTTAGACGATGATACAAATGGACGCGGCTCGTTGCGCAAGGTTTAAATTCACGATCCGACTGTGACATTTCACTAAATTCTGTAGCCATCCTAATTCCTCAGGCAACTCGGTTGTCACCGAGCCTTTAATGATGTTGTCAGACGGCACGTTCTCTTATTGTTGCCGTTAATGCAGGATAATGCAGGATGTCGTAGGAATTACGAAACCCTCATCAACGAGGATGAGCGTTTCACCGATTCCACATTTGATCGGTAATTAACTAAGCGATCATGGCTGATGATGAAATCGATTGTGTCCATGTACATATATATATTAATAAATCAATTGTGTTATATATAGGTATGTAAATTATGGAAATCTTAAGAAATAAAATATCGATTTGCTTTTATTATTTAATTTATGTCGAATATTAATAATTTATTTCATAAAATTTCATAAAAAAAGTTAATTCAATTTATATGTATATTCTTATTCTTTTTAGAAAATCCATCAATCAAACGTATAACGGATTGCTTCAATCGATTGTGTTTAAAAACGAATTCGGCTATCAATCATGTTAAGTAGTTAAAATATCGTCTAAGCCAAGCAAATGAATGCATAAGGTAAAATGTTACGTCTAATATAGTACCTGACCTTTTCTTATCGGAAATCAGATAAATTCACTAAATATTTCAAGAAAGTCTTTCAGTGGCCCGTTATTTTCAAGAAACTATCGATTATAATATAATAATGAAGACTAGGAATCGACAATACATACTAAAAATGTCGCGTCTAATTTTAGATATCAAACGTCATATATTCCGATTAAAGTAGGAGTAAAGTTTCACGTTAATGTATATACTTGTAATACTTATTGCGAGTCATATCGTTGTGAGAAAATTGCAAAAAGTACGATTGATAAAAAAATTCGTCTTCTTTAACGTCCTTTTGTATCGAAATTTTTAATAAAACATTATCCGTATTTCTGTCATAATCGTATATCGATACTTAACCATCACCGGTATGAAACGATAACACGACGCGACGCTCATTAGACGGTGGATGCTCGTTAGCGACACCGTAATCGCCAGCGTTAGACGACTGATCAATTAGCCAAGCAGATAATTTGCCGCTGACGAGACGCCTGTCGAGAGCAGGCGGTCCAATACGACGCAAACGCATTCTCTCATATAGACCGCTTCCGGGCGCATTTATGTAAGCGCGAGGATATAAGCGCATCCGTTTTCCTCTCCGTGTGGAAACGGATGGCCGGTATTGGTTCTCGTTTCAATATTCAGCTTCTTGAATAAAACAACAGCAAGACTGACCAGCCGGCCGCGACCCTCGAACCACCGTGTATATCCAAGGATCTTGCCCCGCCGCATCAGCATTCGTCCGTGTCCACGAAAAAGATAGCCCACTTGCATGTCCATGCCTTGATAAACACACTGGATGCAACGAGATCACCTCGTAGAAGTAGTACGCGCGATACGCGATTGAGAATTATACAGGCGATCGGTACATTGCCAATCTGAATTTTGTATCGTGTTCACATTAAAAAGAGAAATAATTCGAATCGAGATAATAAAATAAAAATCGAGCAAGGATTAGAGAGAACAATTTGACTTGAAAAATCGCGACGATTCGATAGCCCATGTCCTAAAAGTGACTGAGGACGTTTTGTGAAAATGCACGTACGTATCTCGTATATATGCAACGTCTATCGATGCATTATATGCATCTTTGCATCTCGACTGTATATGTATGTGTGCGGCCACGTGTGCGCGATAGTGTGGCGCCGACCAAAGCCTCGACTCATATACGAGTGTTTAGACTTTAGGATGCACATGGGAACGTGCGAATCCGGATGACGCGGTAACCCGTATTAGGGTCACGTGCAGATTTGCCGAGGTGAGACCCTATCTTATGCGTCCCACGTACACTCATCTCCGAATCAGAAACCCGTCATAAACGATGCAAGGCCCATATCCTACTCGAGACCGACCTCGCGCGTAATGTCGAAATTTCAGTCCCGTGAAACCCTACACAGTATAAGCGGCGCGGGAAATCAGGCTGCTCGCCGCCCGCTACTGCGTTTCCGGCTGACTGGCAGAAAGCAGTTCAGTAATAATTGAAACGACGACCGACGCCGCTCGTTTATGTATACTTTAAGGATACCAAGATTAATCGGATGCGTAGAGAACCCGTGAGAAACAGTGGAATGTGGTTGGCCCTAAATTGAACTAATAAATCTGTGAAATCTTACGAGATATTTTATTGAGAGTAAACTTATTAATTCAATCAAATTAAAAAAAAAGAAGCATTATTCTGTTTTAATCTCCTTTAAATATTATCCAAATATATATAAACCACAGACTATTTTTTACTTTTAGATTGTTAATAATAATACTTTATGTAATAATTAACATCATTATACATTTTATAAAAATCATGCGCGAGTAGACGTTAAAAATCAACAACAAAGGTTCTTTAGATTAAACGAGCGGCCGCAAAGTTCGACGGTCGTTCGACGAGAATCGAGATACATTTGTCTCATTCGCTCGTTTGTGAATGCAAAACGAGTAGAACAGGATGCGTGATCGATCGGCGTAGACAGTATATCAAACGTGCATCCATCTATCCAGCTTGACTACTATAACACAGAGTCTCGAAGGGGGACAAGAATATCCTATTTCCGGGGTATTTTATCGACGGCTGTTCTCTATGCTTTGCGAATCACTGCAGATCGTGTTTTGAACCATATCATTCGTTTGTCGAATATATCCCCGGCGAACATGCACGTACGTGCATGTATAGACACACACACACACACACACACACATTCCTTACAAATTTGCATTTTCATCGTGCATATGCGTAGCATTCGGCAAAGAGACGAATCCCATTGTTTTTCTCGCACACGTGAATATCGTTTGTGGACTTAGCGATATTTCTGGTTGAATCTACCACACTGCGATACATCGTTCCGCGTCGGGATAGGTACATATCGTGTAAGAATAACATGCGATCGGACGCGAATATGCGAAAACGTTCACGTTCGCTGTATCTATTATATTTGAAAAAAATCTGATATATACACGATATCTCTTTCCCCGAACATTATTCGTTGTGTGTTCGTGAAATTTATACATTTCCACACAAACATATATCACATTAATTTCTTAAATAATATCCCATTAAATGTCATTGTTTCTCTATTTTATTTCAAAATTATTTGTATTACTTACCGAAAGAAGCGTTGACGAACTATTCCAGAATGGTTGCAGTTCCTCTTGTCCATCAATATCACGTTCTGACCTGAAAAAAGGAATAAAATTCATTTGAAAATGGAAAATATTACAAAATTTTATCGGATACAAGTTACCCTAATCGAACAATATTATATTCGTATAAATATGTACGATATAAATATGAGACCATAAACATTTAAAAAACGATAAACGAATTTTACTAGCGCTATTATCTTTCATATTTATGTTTCTATTTGTCCGTAAGCCTGTATTTCGCTGCTATACGGAATCTCATCTCAAAAACATATTAAGGATGAGGCAATAAATGACGTGGATCTCCAAAAAAAAAAAAATAGCGAATTTCCCGCACAACCAATGTGTACTACTCAATCTCATAAATTTTTCATGTTCCTACGTCATATATATTTTTATTAAGTTTCACATCAATATTAATATCTTATGATTACATCTACGCAATTCATTGCATCAAAATTGTGTTTTTTATATGATACATAAGTAATGTATATCGTATTAAAACATTCGTGAAATATCTACTAAATCTCATGTCATTTTAATATAATTTTGCTTTAATTATACATAATACAAAAAGCCAAGTTACTGATCAAACATATATTTAATGGAATAAATATATAATTTTCAAAAAAATCTTTTTTTCTCTTCTTAATTATAAGCTTTTATAAGACATATATAACATTTTTGTCTAATTCTAAATTAATACTTGTTTAACTCATTTAAATAAATTAGATAGAGTAAACGCACGATTAATATAAAAATGATATAGAAATAAAAAATTTGTTTACTCACGTCATGATTGCTCTGCCGTCGCCCGATGCCTCCTCTAGGCCCCCTCCTCCTCTCAGGTTGTCAGATTGTCCTCCTTTTGCGTTGTCGTCGCACTCATTTGCGAAAATACGACCGCGCGAACCGTCCGCGAGGCACCCGGAAACGCGAAACACTTTGCACGACACTTTCGAATTCGCGCGATATACTTTGTATACGGCACTTCCGAAATTGAAACTAATTAAAACGCGACTGATCGTTCGCGGCACATGAAAATAGACGCGCGACGTGCATGGCACACCTGAAATTAAAATTAATTAAAATGCGATGGATCGTTTTCGGAATCTAATACCTGATTTACTTTTAATGGACGACTTTATGCAGACATTATGCAGATTTCACGATCACCGATTATTTGTTCTGTTTGTGTAATAAGTCAAATATTACAGTCCTTTATAGATCATGAACAAGAATAATTGTGTGTAAAGTTTTTATTAGCTCTGTATACAGGATGATATTATTAACCTACAATATATAAAAAAAATATTAACAATCCCGAGATATAGAAAAATTGTAATAGTTCTCTCTCTCTCTCTCTCTCTCTCTCTTACTAATATGCTAAAAAATATTTATTATATTATTGTCTAAGATATATTATTTGAAAGAAATACTTAAAATCTTGATAAATTAAAAATTAATTAATTATTATTAAATATTATTTTTAATCTCGAAATACAGATTGCAGAAATGCATACGCCTTAATGCAATTGAAGATACGCATCAAACTTTTCAATTCGACATTGTTAATTAAACATTGTTAATCCGGCTCTTCATAAAAATTTCAAAAACAAAAAAATATATGCATGCACGCGTTGGGGGAGGGAGGAGAGTGACAAATCGCATTAACATGCAGTGGCGTGCCATATATACGGAAAAAGATAATCTGCAGGTCGTCGAACGGCGTTCTCGTAAGCGGAAATCAGTATTATACGCGATGGGGATGAAAATGCGAGCATTAGAGCCACCAAACGTGCCACAATTTTGTAGGGTGGAATACTCCGCAACACCCACTCCGGTCAATAGTTTTAACGCGCGAAAAACGTTAGGCCGCTTAAAACCGGCCCGTGTACACGCGCGTAACACGCATGCTGTGCCACGGCCACGGTTCATCCGCGACAATAATCCTCGCGCCCGTGCATACGCATGCACGCACACGTATCACGACCATGAATATTTACATCGAATTCGGAGAGGTATGTAGGTCCGCCGCCGCGCGCACAGGATACACAATCCCGGCGCTATTTATTATCCCCTAAAATTATAACGTTCAACATCATCGACGCAAGCGTCGACTATCCGTGTAATCGAATCCCTCGTGTGTATATAAATATATAATCGTAACACGGAAGGTAAACGCACGCACGTACGCGCGCGCGCGCGCACGCGCGTGCACACGCGCGTGTTCGCTCGTTTGCGCGCGAGCACGCATGTATTCGCGAGTCGTGCGTTCACCCGATATTATTTCCGTATCGGCGGCAATTTACTGACGTACACGTGTCTGAAATTCGGTGATTGCACGTCGAACCGAATTTTCATTCCCCCCAAGCCCAAGGTTTAACCGCCGGCCATCCGCTCGTCCGATCCGGCTTGATCTGGCCCGGCAGAGGCGCGCGGATCCGGCTCTCTCTCCCCTGATATACAATAATGAAGTGGGTATGTAATTATGCAATGTAATACTCCGAGATTGTGCCTAATTCGGGCTCGCTCGCGGCTCGTATTATACGCCATCAACGACAAAATAATTTCGACAAATCCGGACACGGTCCGGCGATCTGCAAATTTTCGACGAGAGAATCGGGAAAGGAAGGCCTGTCCAACGCATAAACTGTTCCCTTTTTTAATATTCGCGATTTTTTAACAAGCACGACAGGCACGTAATATAAAGATGTATTTATCTGTTCTCTAACAAGCGCGACATGTAAGGAGAACAAACGGCGACTTTACATGTGACGGCGACTTTAAAGTTGCAAGATACATATGAAACCACTTTGATGGGTGAAACGCTCATGGGACCACCGCATCCGCGCGTCAGATATCGTCGAGTCGAGGGTTATCCCAGGCGACTTCACTTTCCATCCGGATATGGGAAACTATGTTAGAAATACCGAACATCTTCTCGGACATTCTTCATCGTGTGGAAAATCATGCTTTTCCTCCATCTCTTCTTCTTCTCCTCGAATCGCGCACTTTCAAGCATTTCAATGAGATCATCTTGGAGTTTTAGACACGTCATTTGGGTTTTACGTCATGCTCAAATCATATCTCTTGTAAGATGTTTTAATTAAAAAACCATCAAATGTAACCATTAATATAACATTAATTTAAAAAAAAAAAAAAAATTAGGATCTTCTCTATTTTATATACACACAACTGAAATTATTCATATTAATTTTATTTATTTAAAAAGTAAAATTAATTTTGAATCGTTTACGCGGTTTCGAAGTTTTTCGATCATTTCATGCAAAACTGAATATTTGTTTCTCTGCTTTTCAGGCACAAATATATTAAATATCAGTTTGAGAGCTATTACTAATTACAAGATTGCCATCGATCGATACAATTCACGTTCACGGCAGACGTGAATCGTTCGCAAACGATGCAAGTCTTCCAAGGATGAGGATAATGACACTGCAACGAAGGCGTGCAAGGAAATTCAGAGAGTTAATTAGAAAGTACCACTGTATCAGTCGACGCGGTCGACCCGTTCCTCTGGAGAAGGAGAGAAAGAGAGACGAAAAAGAGGAAGAGGAGGAGACCTGATGCAAGATGCACAAGACCTAAGGGATATAGTCGAATTGCGTCTTGTGTATAAGGATCTTAATGTACACATTCGCACGTCTTAAAGACGAAAGTTAGTTATCTGGGGTTGCCCGAACTTTTAGCACGGATAGTGTCTACAAACGCGATACTCAACGCCGTGTGTGCGATCCATGAAGCGTTTATGTCGAAATAATTCGCAGAGTACATCTTTTTCTATAGCGAAGCGCGAAATTAATAGAAGAGTATACAGGATGTATTCAAGTTATTTATACGATTATGAATTTAACGTAAATATTATAAATTTAATTTACCTCTTCGTCACAAAGAGAGAAATTCTTATCAATCAAGAAGAGGATTATATTAAATTTATGCTATTTGAAGACACTTTAGTTTCATATTGGATAGATATGTAAATATTTTTCAGCATGAAAAATTTATTATTATCTTTTTAATAAGTATACGGAACACGGTTTCCCGGACACAAATTTTTCGCTGAATGAAATTGAATAAACCACATTTTTATTTCCGCGTTGCTAAGATATATCGTATATCAATTTCGCGCAATCATCCAAAAGTACAAATTTTTCACTTAATGACATACGCTGGCATTTGCAGAAATAAAGAATTCAATGATACTATTATGCAGAAGCAGTTACAAAATTTTCTCTTAACCGTCCGTCGCGCCTCACGAAATGATGTAACACGCGTCAAAGAACTATGTTTACATTTACTAAATAAGAGAAAATATAGGATCAATTACAAAAGTTGGAAAAAAATTAAAAAAAAAAAAAATTTATTTGCTCTCCAGCAACTTTTAATAATTTACCTTAATAATCGACTCACATTTTCCTTCTAAAACGTGTTGTGGTACACGTTTATATCTCTTGTATCAATTTTATTTATAAATAGTAAAAGTTTGAAATGTTTGAAATTTTTTGTGCAAATTCTTGTTTTACACAGAATTCTAAAATAAACTACGTTTTTATTTATCTTTCAAAATATGGAAGATATGATTTGCGTCTCACAACACAATAATTTACTTGGTAGTTGCATATTTAAATTTAAATCCAATTGAGTAATTTATAAATATTGCATATGAAAGATTCAATATTATTGTTTAATAAGCGAAAAATATATTGATCATATCAATATCGAACGTCTCTTGGGTAAAAATCGCATGTCTGCGCAGCCAGCAGTTTTAATTTCACTTTGCCGAGATAGAGGCGGATAGTATCGAAAAAAGAAATGAGCATTCGCCCGTTTACCAACCCGCATATAGGTACCGCCGACGATGGGTATACACGGATCTATTATTCATGCATGAATTTGAAACGCACGTTACACCAAATTGGTACCCTAAAGGGCTAACGTAGCATACTGAATATTACAGGCGGTTTTTAACATGGAAATCAATTCCGCGTATCAGATTCATACATAATAGATGTAAAGGAGTTGTTTCACGGAAAAACCTATTCCATCGAGAAGTTTATGTTGAAAAGCTATAAGCTATACGATAGTCCGATGAAAAGATCAACAGAGACGCGCGCGATAGCTATCGGATGCAACCTATTACTTGTCATTATATTTCGAAGGCGGAATAAACATTACTATTATCTCCGATAATACTGTTTCATTGTGTATTAAATATGTGATAAATAGCTACAATTTCGTTATTTTATATAACTTTTAAATTGTGAAAATAAAATATACAAACAAATTTTACAATTAATAAATTAAATAATTAAATAAGTTATAAATTGTTTATCCTATGTGTATATGTCATCTTTCTTCTTTTCCTCTTCTCTCTCTCATTCTTTGCTATTCCTTCATGGCATTCGCGAAAATACGGTTAATTAAGATCGCCTGTGCACTAATGAGCAAAAATATGATGATCGCATGGCATTTCGTATGACACTCCGACATTAATCGCACGTGACGCGCACTTTATTATATAGATTATAGATAATGGAAAAAGCAATTTTACTATCTCGCGTAATAGCATAAATGTGGAGAGAGATAAGATACAAATTACAGATAAAGATAAATATTTGCAAATTGCAACACTCGAAAATATAATTGGATGTGTCGACTGTTCGTACGACAAAATTCGATCGAATAAATTTCGCGTTTTGACAAATAACAATGTACAAACACTGAATTTTTATTCACAATAAGTGATTGACAAGCATTAAAAAATGTAATTAAATACGACTGTATTTTTTAATTAAACACGTTGCGACTTGATTCGGAGTCAATTTGTATTCGCGATTTCATTAGTAATTGAAAAATTCAAAAATGATATGGATTCACGTTAATATAATCGCTAGTTAAAACACAATAATCATCAAAAAATATATAATCGAGATTTAATATTGTAAGTATAGTAGATTTTTAAAGCATAAATGGCGTCGAATTATTAATTAACACGTATTATTAATAAAATCGATATATTATGTTTTTTCGTTACTTGAGTCAAATAGCTGTCATATTCTTACGTTTATATTACCAGGTAATCAATTAACAATATTCATATAGAACAATTTATAATTTATTTAATTTATTATTTATAATTTATTTAATTTATTATTCCCTGAAAAATTAATTGCTTATTTATTTCCGCGGTGTTTATCTCCTGGTAGTAATACATTTTATATCATTGTATAATATAACGTATATACATATGTAAAACATTCTAGATCTTATCTTTAAATATGTAATGAGGTTTTTCGATGATATTTATTTAAATAACAAATAAATAATAATAATATAATATTTAATTACGCGCAATAATTAATTTTTTTTAAATATTATTTATTTGAATATTATTTTATATACATAAGTTGTAAATATAATTTATATATTTTGTTGATTACAGCGTTATGTATTGCTACTTCGTTGTTGGGCATCATATTGGTAAGCCAAATTAATTTTTATTTTCTGATTATAAGAGGCAATTTGTGGATGAATTATGAAAAAATTACGTTATAAGATAAAAAATATTTAAAAAAGCCGAAAGATATTCAAGTCCTTTCTTGATACCAAGTTTTTTTGCATTAAATTTTCTTTGCTTCTAATTAATTCTATTACTTCTGTATTAAAATATTTATACACAAATATTATAAAGTATATAAGAATATAATCTGTATTTTATAAAATATAACATTTATAATTTCGGAATATGTGATAATGAAAGAACTAAATTACGCATTATACATAATTTTTGCAAAGTACTCTTATTTGCTGCAATTTCTTTTTTAATATCATAATTTTTATGATAAAAACAGGTTTAAATCATCAACAATAAAGCAATATTATTTTATATAAAACGTTTTTCGATGCATTTGGCGCTTTTCATTTATCTTTTTTTTTTTGGAAAGATTTCTTGTACTATCTCGAGGAACGTAAAGCGCAAACGTAATCTTGATTGTATCCTTCCGTTTCCATATTCCGGCCACTTTCCGACAAACGAGCTCTCGCGAAGGTACATAGACTACTTGAACACAAAGCGCACAAAAGATGGCTAGTTGTTCTCTCAAAAGATAATACATTGATATCATCCACCCTCTCTTAATAGGTATAATTATTTAAATACGGTTTGTCTAGTTTCTCTGTATACATATATATCCATTTCTCTTTCAGCGTCTACTTTCAGTAAATCTATCATTTACAGCTTCATGGAGAAGCTACAAAAGTTCATAAAAAAAAAAGATAAAAAAAGATAAAGCGAAACTTTTCGTACTACGTTTACACAATAATTAGATTTCGAGGATTTAAACGATTTTGACACGAGTGGTACGGGAAAAAGTTTCAATCTGCCGCTTTCCGCAATTAAGCGTAGACATCCGCTGTCAGATACACTCACGTCGCTCGCGGTACTCCAAAACTGCGAATTCGTAAATCAACATGCACGATATTCGCGAAGAGTCGAATCGTTGAGCGGACGAAAAGCGACTCGAGATTCCAATCTAAAAGGATATCGATCGCGTCGGGAGGAAAGTTGTAATGTAATTAAATGATCGATCTAGTAATATAGAGACGAGATATATTCTTGCAACAGTCAGTCGCGCGTATTGATGACACGAAATCATAGTAGACTGAGAACTCATTACCATTCGCGATTAACGATTATCAAATATCGGAGAAGTTTCGTATTTACACCTACATGTAAACGCAGTCATGTATGCGAAAAAGCAATAGAGAGAAAGTATATATCCATACATAACAATCGGACCAAAAGGAAATAGGTAGAAGCACACTGACAAGCTATTTACAATCAAACTCGACTATGGTGTAATTGAAATGTCAATTTCGTAACAACTGTTACAGCGACGACGATTAGAACGACATAAATTGGATAAGTAGGAATATATAATATGCCCAATAATTCTTCATACGCTATTTTCTTTAAAAATGATAGAATTTGGTAAAAAATATATATTTAATAAGATTAAATTTTTTTTATACAAATCAAAAAAACTTTTTTAAAGTTATTTAAATATTAGAAACGGGAGAATACAAATATATCACAGATAATATAAAAAAATATCCAAAATTTCGTTCGGCATTAGATAATATAAAATAATTAAACAATATCTGCTTGTAAAATATAAATAAAAAGATATAAAGTTAATATTCATAAAATATAATGAGACGAAATCTGAGTTAACAAGAAGAAATGCAATAATTTCATCTTTCTGGCAAATTCTTTGTGTACATGATAGACCTAGAAACGAAATGTCGAAATTCGCGTGCTCGATGGCAACTCTCTTTCGAATCCAACGAAGAAGTAAAAGAAAAGAAAAGAAAGAAAAAGAAAAGAATGAACGCGAAAGCAGAGCGATCTATTGTTAGTTGCCACGGGCGAAACGAGGCGGATCATCTTTCGGGCCAGTTAAAGTTTTTATCGTGGCCGACACGCCGACCATACGTCACAAGCCCGACGGGTTTCCCTCGGCGGGTCCCCGAATTCGCGCACGAAGGCTATTTATAAAGAAAAATTACGCCCTCGAGATCGCGTAATGAGCTCTCGCTGTAAATACATGCAACTGTCTGTCTGTCTCGGCGACGATCCGCGCGGTTAATATAACTCGGGGACTCTCCCGTTCCCATCCCCCGCTTTTGCCCTTTACCGGATACGTTTCATGTATTTACTTATCCAGGGTAACGAACGAGCTGGTCCAGGAGAGAAGAGAGCGCAAACGATTAATATCGACTTCATTATTAGCAGGCTCGTCCTAACAAAGAGTTATTTTCCCCGTCACTGCGACGCGCAGTTCGAAGAGGGATAACTCACTTTCTCTCCTTTCTCCCCCTTCGGACTTCTTCGTCCCCCACGCTTTTCGCGATCTCCTTTTTACCGTTCATTTCCTTCACGGGGATATCTTGTATTGACATTTGTCCTCTTTTATTGCGCATCTCTTTGATAGCGTTGCGCGACGTGATTACCCTCGCAAAAGTAAAGCGCCGGTATTAAGAAGCTCGTTAGTGTTCTATATGAAAGTTATGAATCTCGACGAATTATTGTCTAGACAATTCTACCGCGAGAACCAGGACCCATGCGAGTCATGAAGAAGGCAACTGAATCGCAATTAATACACTCAGCTAATTAGAGAACTCGCTCAGTCATTATTGTATCCGGTATAACTATTATAATTAGAAGCGACAGTTTTTATTGTATGTAGATTATTATTATAATTTAGCTCTCCGATCTCGTTATACACGATACAATCGATATAAATATTTTTATTAAACATAAAAAGATGTTTTTTCTTTGTAAGTTTTAATTGATTCTAAATTATAACTTTGTTGGGCTATTAAATACAGAACTTTATAAAAGATGAAAATCAATCATGACGTAAAGGATAGAATTTTGTTTGCGCCCGCTGCATTGCGTAGGTCGTTAATAATATTTTTCATCGCGGCCATTAATTAAAAATGCAAATAATTGCGGCTTAATTTAATTACGTATGTAAACGCGTGCGTGGATTAAAATTACGGTTCCGACTGAGCTGATTGAAATTTTTTACGTCAAATGTATAAATATTTTGTGCGAAATTGTGGCTCGTTGGTTTTAAATAAAAACAGATACAGAAATCTATTATATAATATTTTACAACATTCACAATATACAATAATGCACGTCATAATACAATTAGAAGCCTTAAGACACATAAATCTCGATGTTTTATATCGCTAAATATTAATCAGGGATAAAAAATACAGGAAAAAGTCATGCGTTGCATGCGACGTTCGTAGATCTTTGTAGCAAATTATTGTATGCTCACGCGCGAATGGATCATCCGGATAAAATAAAGTCGAATATTCGGCATATCGCTTATTGGTATGCCGGTGACACACGGGTCCAATTTGGTTACCGGCATCTGCGAATCGCCGAATATCATCTACTCCATTGAAATTCCGATATAGATATGAGACGCACGATATCGCATTTGTCTCTCTGACTGTGTTACCTAACGCTCGCATTTTGGCGCCTGTTGTTCTCCCCTGAGAACGTGACTATACGTGACAATGAACACGGCGACTCTTTGTTTTATCAAATGCTTATAACATTGTCGATAAGTATACGATATATACGAATAATTTACCTCCATAATTTTTCTCTACCGAGGATGCTGCTTCCTGCGGCTACGATGTAGACGACAATCGAAATCGAGAATGGCACGAGCGATAACGACGACGACGATTATTTTTGCAACCAACGAGATATTTATCCACTGTCACTCAATTAACACACGGTCAACAATGATACGCGTGTCCACATCGTCGAAATAATGAGGCCCATTAAACTTTCTGCGGGCTCTGCGTGTTTAATCGGCGCGATAATCGGAAATGATAGTGTTCGAAAGATTGAGAGATCTCCGAAAAAGAAAAAATGTTACGACAAACGCCGAATTAATAAAGTTACAATATTGTAGAAAAATATTGCCATGACTCGAAATTACTTTGATATATTTTAATGCAAATCATTATTAAGCGAATCGGAATTAGAAATTGTTTCGTTAAAATTTTTAAAAACGTGTGATCTCACTCTCACGGATAGTTCTTTCAAGAATTTGAATTGGAATATTTTTTCTTTCTTTCTTCGCAAAAGGGTTGGCACCGACGTATACGTTACATGGCCATCAACTGGTAAAAATAAACCTCTTTAGAAGAGGTCAAAATCCAAAAATAAAGTCCAAAGGATATACGCGTATTTAGAAGACGTCCGTTTCCGTCCGCGGACGGCAACGAACTGAATTGGAATGTAAGTAATAACGACGCGTGTTTATATTTACATACTTGAGCTAGTGGAACATAGCCTTGACGGTATGTCGGCGTAATGGAGCGTATATACAAATAAAAACACACGAAGAAGGGGGAAGGACAGACGCGCCGAGAGACGAAAAAATTATTAGTATTCAATCAATATTCGTATGTTGAGGAATGTAGGTATTTGTTTCATTTTTTGCGATTTTCTTCAAAACGAAGCAAAAACTAGCAAATCTCTAAAGGACTTTTTGTCTTAGTCTATCGGTCCCCTACACGCTCCTAAAGTTTTGACATTTAAATTGGGGATACCCTGTATATTGTTCATTAATAAAATTCTCTTATCTTGGCTGGGTTCCATCCAATCCTCTCGTCTAAACGTAAAAACTAGTTTTCCTTACAATCTCGCATCGCATATTTTAGATTTTTCGTCGACTTAAAAGTGATTTGCACTCAATTTTTCGTGATTGAAAGCACGGAGTAATATACGAATCGCCGGATCGAGTAAATTCAATATAAAAAAGACGCGAAAAATATATAAATTGTTAATTGATCGTTAATTTAAAAATCAAGAAACAGAATATTTAATATGGAACGCGTTTAATATTTCGTGGAGTCAATGAATTAATCGTATCACACGCGGTATATTCGACGCTCGATTTGCGACATTATAGCCATGCGTTGTTTACGCTTAGTCACCTTGTTATCATTCGCGTGACAAGACTCGAGCAAGTAAGCAGCGATGAAAGCTGCTCCGTCGTATTATCCATCTAAATATGATCATTTCGATTATTACGATCAATGATTCCTAGCATGTCGTGGCGACTATTTATCGAGATGAATATTTTACGCGATTTAGTTGTATAAAGTAAGAATAATACATCGATTTCGTGGGATTGACATGTTCGAAACGTATCGCGCGCGCGATATAAAATTTCGAGATCCTAGACTTTTAAGCGGTTTATCACTTTTTAATCATTAACTCTATTCGCATAGTATATCGCATGTCAGATTAAAATTTTTCAAGTACGTATCAATAAAAACAATAAATAAATAAATAATAATAACTAGATCATGCCGTAAAGAAGCAAATACGCGTTATATGTATGCAATTATATATAAAATGTATTCTGAAGATAATTTTTAATGGTTGCAATTTCTATTTGTATATTTTTATAAAACCTTGACAATTAAAAGTAATCAATCTGTTATATCGTGATGCAATTTACGCGTAACTTGAGAAAAATTCCATATATATTTAACGAATGCTATCCACCCCCTTCCACTCCCCTTTTGTGCAATAGATTCAATAAAACAGAACGGGGTAAATTCGATCCCTGCCGCATGACGTTTCTATCAAAGGTTACTTCTCGGAATACATGAAGGTGCATATGAAAGCATATCTAGAGATAAATGTCAACGCGATTTATACTTCGGAGGAAAAGTTCCTCTTGCCGTACACAATAGCTATTCTTAGACGTCCGCTAAACATCGCATAGCAAAAGTACATACTGAAAATATACGTCGAGACAATTAAAATCGTGAATAGATAAGGAGATACCTTACCCTTAAAGATGATCGCATTCCGGTCTCGCGAGAACGAATCGAATGCGCGCTAATCGTCATAGTGACGGCTATCAATCGACATAGTATATGTTTTCGCTTGCCGACAGGGGCGAATCATGGCGAACGCCCGTAATTCTCTCCCATCTCTGCGGTGGAACGGGTCAGACGCGGTAGCAGGGCGCAGCAGCAAGAGGGTAACGGGCGGAAAGGGGACGCCTTTCCCTGCTCCTATCTATCCCCCCATCCCCCCCCCCTCTCCGCCCCGGACTCTACTACTTCCCTTCCGTTGCCTCTTTCGTAGGGCACAGTGGAAGCACCCAGGGGCAATTGAAACTCACGGCCATTTACTGCATTTCAATAATGGTTTCCCGTCTCTCTCTCTGCCCTTTCCCCCTCCCTCCCCCTTCCGCGCCTCTTACTGCATCGCCGCGTATCCTGCCTCTCTTCCTCTCCCCCTCTGCATCCCGGCCGTTTCCTCCTCTTTCCGCGTACGTGCAACACGAGAGAACCCGGGCTCTGCACAGTCGATTTACTACGAGCTTTATGGTACACACCGTGTACGAGAGCACGCAGAAGTACCGTACGGCTAACTATTCCGCATCTACCACAGGGGGGCAACTGTATTATTCCCTGTAAACTATTCCGGGCCACGCGCGCCCACGCATGTACGTACGTACATATGCGTAATGCGGCGAGCGATTTTTACGCTTCCCGGGGAAGCTCGTTGACGCGTGTCGGGAAGCGCATATGTATTTCTGTCAAGCGAGCGAGAGAGAAGCGAAATCGTCCGCGCGATTCTCGTCCCCCTCGTCGCTCGATCTTACATACTCGTGAAAAGATATTCGTAATAATATGTACAAAATTGAACATAAAAATACTATTGTAATCTAATAATCAAATCTAATTTTTTATTAGATAAATCAATTTAAATTTAATTTGAATAAATCAAATATTTATTTAAATCAAATTAAAATTCAATTGATTTATCTAATAAAAATTAGATGAAATGAATTGAAATTGATCGTAATTTTTTCGGCGTTCGCCAACGAGAACAAGATGCTTGGTTATAAAAGAGTCGGCAATTAACGACGGTGATAATCGTAAAGCGCAAAGTGAATATCGATTAAACGAGAGCGTCACGTTCTGTAATACGCGAGATCATTTCAGAAGCGGCATTTCGGAGGCGGATAATTGAGATGGATATTGACTCGTCGACGCGTCACATTTCCGTGGGCTCATTGCCGTCTGGTGTCGAGATACGTATGATACGCGCGCGCGCGCGCGCGCGCACACACACGCATGCACAAACGGCCGATGTACCTGCGATACGATACGTACGGTTCCGGTAAATTTGAAATCGGCCAAATCGCCCGCAGACACTGGGACGAAACAAATTTCGCCCATTAGCAACCGACGGAGGATACGTGTCGCGCCACAGTTGTTGTCAATACAAATATCTGCGCTCGCGAGATGCGACCATATTAATTCCCGCGTCTGGATTCCCGCCATAAATATGCGCATATATGCGTGCGCGCGCGC